TCTGGCTGCTGCCGCTCGCCGCTGTCCTCATCTTCTCCGCCTTCGCCGCCGTGGCCGTGACCAATGTTGGCCGGCTCCACGCCCTCAAAGAGGAGCGGCTGAAGGGCCTCGCCAAGGCGACCGAGGAGTCCATGGTGAGCACAGAGGCGGCAACCTGGAGGATGAGCTCAAGGATGTGGTCGAGCTGCGGCATGCCCAAGAGCGCCAGGGAGTCGTCGCCCGCTCGCACGCCCGCGACTTCGCGAAGCGACTCCTTTTTCAAGAACGCGCGCGTGGCGCACCACGCCCTCGCGCTGCGGCGCCGGGCCTCGGGCGGGGCGCGGGCCGGCGGCCTCACCAAGTCTCCCGACAGGGCGCGCGGCAGCAAGGCTCGTCGAGGCGGCGGCGCCTCCTCCTCCTCGGGCAGCGGGGCGGTCGACCTCCACGAGAGCGTCGCGGCGGAGCTCACGAGCAGCGGCGGCCTCTTCTCGTCGAAAGGGTCGGACACTGTGGTGTAGGAGAGAGCGAAACATGTGGGGCGAGACCTGACCAGGTCTCCAGCCGCGCTACGTCAGTAGGTCGTGGCGGGATCGTAGGACGCCTCGTGCTCGCTGCTCCTCTCTGTCTCTGAGTCTCACACTTTTTTGGCGATTCCGCGTCTTCTCTGGCCCCTGTGTCGCTCCCCGCATGTGCATTTCTGATACATAATCGACACGTTCTCGGTCAGACAGAGTACACGAGCTGTCTACGGGTCCATATGGTCAAGAGCCGTGCAGTATCCAGTAATGCTAATGGTGTACTCTACTCACTCCACTACTCTACACAGCTAACTGCGTGAAAACCGCCCACACTACTGCCCACACGGTCACACGGACACACGCGGGCACGGATTTGCGGCACGAGGCATTCCAGCTACTGCGTCGAGACGACGGTCAGCCCAAAACGACGCTGTCGTAGACCCATTCGAGCTTCTTTCCCGGGCCAAAGTCGTTCAGCCTGTTCAGCTGCTTCGAAGAGGCGGCCAACACTTTGCCACTACCATGCTCAACGAAAGAGTCGCATTCGTAGACTTTGCCGTCCACCATAACGCGCCACAAGTGCTCGTGTACTCCACCGCCCTCTTCGTCGAAGTAATCTTCGAGCCAAGACTCGCAAAGCGCCTCGATCAGCTCAAGTAGCGTCGCGCTCAGCGGCACGGTCACCTCGGGCCGAGGGCCGTCCGGCCTGCCGCGCCCTTGCTTCGTCACCGCGACCGTCGCTGTCGCAGGCATGATTGGAGCACTAGCAATGCCCTTTACGCTGTGCAAAACCGTGCGTGCACCGAGCGTGCGTCTTCGTTGCAAAGAATGAAGAAAATCGCGCCCCCTACTCCCCGGGGAGGGGCGGCGTGGCGATGCAATGCCGCCGCCCTCGCCCAAGGAGTCGGGCATGGGATCACCGTCGGTGATGGCGACAGAATCGGACAGAGAAGACGAGACGGTGGCGGAGCCGCGGCTGGGAAAGGCTAGGAGAGGAGGTCGGGCCCCGCGCCCGTCGGATAATCATCGGAAGGCGAACAAGAGGAAGGAATCAGAGGAGGGGGGGGCCTCCTCCGGAGTGAGGATGAGGACCCCGCGCGAAGGGGCCCTGCGCGTTGACGACGTGTGAGAGTGCGTGTCGTGTTCATGTCTGGTGTTCATTATAGCTCCGAGTAGAGGGGGCGGTCTGCTGCTAGGGGAAACCCGGTACGCGGGTCCAACCCTCGGAGACCCGTGTTTACTTTAAGGCCCTTTCCCTGCGAACGCGCACCCCCGGGGCTAGGGCTCTCTTGCCCGCAACCCGATCCCGATCATCCGGCCCGCTGGGTGCGCTTCTCAGCTCCCCGGCCCTGGATGTGAGGCTGCCGAATGCACTCCAAGTGCTCCAAGACAGCGGCTCGCTGGGAGTGCTTCTTAGCTCCCCGGCCCTGGATGTGAGGTTGATAACTGCACTCCAAGTGCTCCAAGGACACCACGGCGGGTGAATGCGCGGCAGCCCTCTGCGTCCTCTGGCTTCGCGAGCTCGCCCGCCGCCGCTCTGCTGAGGCCTGCTTGCGCGAGCAAAAGGCGGTCGCCGCGCTCGCCAGCCTGAACAACCGGAAGCGGACGCTCATCTCTCTACGTCACCGCGAGCGGGCATGACGTGCCTGTCCGCCCGGACGACGTGATGAAGGTACACCACACGAGTTGAAGGAAACCGTCGGACAGACTCCCGACGATCCTCCCTGTACTCGAAGAGAGATACCCGGGTATTTGCACTTTTCAGACACACTCACAAAATCAGACTGTTTCTTGCCTGTGGGAGGCCTTCGTCTTCGCGCTCCCGGGCCCGACTGCCACCCACTCTGCTCTCTGGCATCGGTAGCGTCACGAGATGACTTCAGGCGGTGTGGCCCGCCCCCGCGTCGATGGTGACCAGCGCGTCGGTGTCCGTCTCGTTGGTGTCCGTCTCGTTGGTGTCCGTCTCGTTGGTGGTTGCGAGGGTCGCCTCGGCCGTCTCGGTCATGGCGGTCACAGCTTCGGGGTTGGCCGGAGGAGCGATGAGGGCGGCGAGCTTTTCGAGAGCCGCCCGTGACGACGCGGTGTTCTTCGAGAGGCGTGCCGTGGATGGTGACGTCGGAGAGGAGGGAGCGCGCCTTCACGGCTAGCGAGAGCGCGCGCTCGATGGTCGCGGAGAGGTCGGGCGTCTCAAAACCCGAGGGTTGCGAGAGCGAGGAGATGAGGAGCTCGACCGAGGACTGGAGGTCGGCCGAGAGTGCCGTGGCCTTGACGCGCACCTTCTCAAGGCCCTGCTCGGCCGCGTCCTTGGCAAGCGCGGGCAGGCTCTCGGTGACGAGCTGGCGCGTGTCCTCGGCAAACGCGTCGGACTGGATGTACTCGCGGTACTCGGCCACCTTGTCGTACTGAAGCAGGGAGATGGCGGTCGCCTTGAGCGCAGCCGCTGTCTCGGTCGGATGCTCGCGCGCCTCCTGGAGTGCCTCAAGAGCGCGGCACAGCCGCTTGTCGGCGAGAATTGCCTCCTTCTTCTCGACGAGTGACGCCTTCTTGTCGGCCACCTTGGTCAGGAACGGCGCGGCGCGGGCCTTGGCGGGCGCGAAGATCTTCTCCGCCGCCATCTCCTTGACGGGCGCGATGAGCTTCTCGGTCGCGAGGTCCTTTCCCTCAGCGATCACAGCTCCGAGCGCCCCTCGGCGCTGCGGGCAAGCGCCACCCTGGCGGCCACGGCCTCCTTGGCGTCTGCGACGAGCGGCGCATAGTCGTGGTACTTCTCGGAGAGGATTGGGTAGTAGAGCGCAGCCTCCTTGATCAGGTCAGCCGTCTCACCGTCCTTCCCCGGGCCAGTGCATGTGCATGTGCATGTGTGTGTGTGTGTGTGTGTGTGTGTGTGTGTGTGCATGTGTATGTGTGTGTGTGTGTGTGTGTGTGTGTGTGTGTGTGTGTGTGTGTGTGTGTGTGTGTGTGTGTGTGTGCGGGGGGGGGGGGTTCACGTCACTGCATCCTCTGCCGGTTCCTCCCGTCGCCTCTTTGTTCGAATGCTTGTCAGTTCCTCCTTCACGAAGAAGTCCTCCCATGTACGGCTTTGGGAGCCAGCGTCCTCTGCCCCTGCTGTGTTGCATACCTTTGCTTCATCGAACGGCGAACGCCAACCACGGGGGGCGTGCCGAGATGGTCTGATTGATAGCGGGAGGACGAGCTTGAATGTATGTGTAGGATGCTTGAAAAATTGTTTTATAAAAATAAGTCAACGCGCAGTCAACGTGCCAACTCGTGTGCTTCAGTCTGCCTTGACATCTGACCCATCCGGCCCTCCAAACCTCGGCAGCTTGCGTGCGTATGAGCTTGGCCCTCCCGTCGAAAGCAGCCGGAGCAGCGCCACCTCTGCCCACGTGACCTTTCGTGTCCTCCCGATTGAGCCCGCCGACATAGCGTTTGTGCCTTTGCCGAGAGCATAAACCTCGGCGCGGGCGTGTTTATCCGAGACCTTTGTAAACTCTCGCATGCGAAAGCCGTCACCCATGATGCGCGGATCTCCGAGCTGCTGGTCATCGTTCCGTCGCATCCCAAAGAGGCGCATCAGCTTGAGGATGCGCGCGGCGCCTGACAGAGATGTGATGAAGAGCTCGGAGTAGCGGCTCAGCTTGAGCAGGTCTGGTTGCGGCTGCTGCTCAAAGGACGCACATGCATCGCCGACAAACCTCCGGAAGCCGCCGCGCAGGACCAAGTCGTCCTCCATGCTCAGTTGGTACGGAATCTTGTTTTGCACCTGATAGCTCAAGACGCGGTACTTGGTCAAGAACGTTGCCACCTTGCCCCACCTTCTTCCGGGGCCGTTGCTCATTCTGTGGAATGGAATACCATAGTCAAGCAGCGCCTCGATAGTCTCGGTGTGGTTGTAGCCATCGACTGCCCTCACGACTCTTGTTGGTACAACCTTGCTGTAGTTCTGCCAGAAATTCTGCTTCCCGGCATGGGCTAGCGCAGCCACCACGAAACTCACCGTGCGGTTGCACGTTCCGACTGGAGGAGGCGGGTTCGCGAGAGGCAGCAGCTCTGCTGCAATCGGCGGCCCATCCTGCCACGCCGTCGTCTTAGCTTCGGCACGCGCGTGCCGCCTTGTTGCATTCCTCGCCAACTCGCGCATTCCTCAGCTCTCGCCCTCGGTGCTCGGAGCAAGTTTCGCCTTGATCTCACACGGGTAAAAATACCAAAATCCAGATGTCGCGTAGTATGGTATTGCGTGCGTCCTCCCTTGGGTTGATTTTATAGCCCCCCGCTACCCAGTCGCAGTCGTGCGACGTAGCGGGGGGCCACGACTACGTTTACGAAAACATAAGTAGTCCCGCGAGGTGTGAATTGGCCGCCCCAGTAGCCCCCTTTCCAGCGAAGTTGGTTTTTCGGCGCGTCCCCAGAGCGTCCAAACTTGTTTGGGCGCGAACCGTATCTCGCAACGAATCTCGCCGGCCTCACCGGCTTTCGTCGCCCATGCTCGGTCTCGACTTGAGTGCCGCTCGACTGGCCGATGAAGAGCGACCCGTACGACGCGCACTTGTCGCCCTCCCTCCTCGCCACATGACGGCCGCCCACCGACACCGACAGTCGCGCTCCGCACGCCTTCGAGGTCAGCTGCGGCCGAGCGACGACCGGCTCGTCTTCTCCGATCGCTGGGCGCGGTCACTCTCCGGCCCATCACCCGCCTGCCGATCATCTGTCCGCCTCGCCGCGCGCGGGCCGCTCGCCTGCTCGCCACCGCCGCCGCGTTTCCCCGCGCCGCCACGCTTCCCTGTGCACCTGACCGCGCTCGAGCCGCCGCGTTTCCCCGCGCCGCCACGCTTCCCTGTGCACCTGACCGCGCTCGAGCTGCGCACAGACGGCGCGCTCTGGCAGACAGAGCAGCGGCCGCCTAGGTGGTCGCTGCTCCGCCCCGTCCGAATCCGTCCGCCCGCGCGTGCCGCTGCCGCCGCCGCCGCCACCACCGCGCCGCGCTTCCCCGCGCCGCCACGCTTCGCTGCACCTGACCGCGCTCGAGCTGCGCAGGCAGACGGCGCGCTCTGGCAGACAGAGCAGCGGCCGCCTGGGCGGCTGCTGCTCCGCCCCGTCCGAATCCGTCCGCCCGCGCGTGCTGCTGCCGCCGCCGCCGCCGCTCCACCCGGTTGCCGTGTGTCGTGAGAGTTTGCTTTGTGCATGTGTATGTCGTAATGTGTGTGGACTTATGTCACACTTGAGCCTCTATGTATGATTAGTAGACCGGTACTCGGGTTTGGATGGTAGCGGGGGGCCCCGCCGGAGGCTGGTTACTGATCGACGAAGCTTGAATGCTCGCCTTGCCGCTGTGTTGCTCGCCCTCGCTCTGAGGGATGGGAGGACGGCACACCGCCACCACACAGGGATTCGTCTTGTCCTTGCGCCTGCGGAAACGTTCAGCAGACAGCACTCCCTAGAGCTTGCCCCCTCCACACCCTCTACATACTACACTGTTCTTCTCTTGTTCATTTGCTCCGGTTTGCTCTCTGATGCCCAATGCGTGCACTCGTCCCTCTCTGTGTATGTGTGGGTTCGTGTGTGCGGGGGCCCTCCTTGTCTCTGCCTACCTACCGTCGATCGACGCGGGCCTCGCCACTCGATCGTCCACCTTCCCCTCGCCGCTCGCCGCCGCCGCTCTCGGTGGCGGCAGCGGCCGGAGGCAGAGCGCGTGCAGAGACCGTTATTATGGCGCGAGTCAGGAAGATCAGCGATCGATAGGGCGAGGGACGGGAAGAAGGGAAACCTGTGTTTGAAGGGATTAAATTCTTTTTCGCACAACACTGGGCACGCCCAGTGTTGTGCCGTTCTAAAATTCTTTTTCGCTGTGCGCTCGACGCATGCACACACATACATGCAGCCTCCACCACCACCGTGGCACAGCCTCCAGGAGCTCATCTTCGACCCGTCCGCCTTCAAGGCAACGACGGTGCGCGTCTCTGGCACGGTCGTCATGCTCGACGGAACTCTTGGCCGCCTCGACCTCGCTGACCGTGGTGCAAAGCTTATTGTTCGTGTCGACCCGGCACGCCTGGCCGGCTCCTCCCTGGATTTGCATGGGCGGGCGGAGGTCGTGGGGATCGTGAAGAAGGAGCAGCGACGCACCTTCCTCGACGCCTCGGAGGTTCGCCCTCTGGCCGCAGCGGCGGACGAGGCTTCTGGGTCTGACTCGTCCGAGGAGGAGGCAGACGAGGTGACTCGCGAGGTGTGGCGCCGGGTTGAGGTCGTGTTGCGAGAGCACTGCCTCTCGGCGCTCGCAATGGCGGCGTCGAGAAAGCGCGCCGGGCGGCCCGCGGCCCGGCCCGCTGCGGTGAGCCCATGTGCTTTACGCCCATCTCTGTGTGTCAGGTGGGTGCGTGAGATGGCCGACCCCTCCAACGACACGCTTGCGCGGCTGCGCTCGTGGATGCTGCTCCGCATCAACGGCAGGGAGAGGCCGGTGTCGCCTCCCTCGCCATGGCAGTCAGGCTGCCCCGAGCTGCTGACGGGATTGCGGGCGCGGCCGGTGTGGGAGACTGCGGAGCTGCCTTGGCTCCGACCCTTCGAGGAGAGAGCGGGCGAGATTCGCGCAGAGCTGCTCGCCCTCCGTTCGTGCCGTGGTTGCCGCTCGAAACGGTCGGGCTGGCGGCCGTGAGCCGTGCATTCTCACCCACACCACTACGTCACAGGCTTCCAGCCGCTCAAGATCCCCAACTGGGCCTCGTCGGGCAAGGTCGCGTCGCCCGACGGGGCCGGCTCACTCTCGCACGACGCGGGCGAGTGGAACGTGTTTTACCTCTCGCTGCACGAGCTGCCCTTCGCAGACAACCGCGCGCGCTGCCCCGTCACCGTCTCGCTCCTCGCAGCGCTGCCGCGGCCGTACGACCACGCTTTCTTCTCGGCGCTCACGCCCGGCACGCACGTCGTCAAGCACCACGGCCCCACAAACAAGAAGCTGCGCGTGCACCTGCCCCTCGTTGGAGTGGAAGGCGCCGCGTCGCGTCGCGATCCGACGCCAATCGGCGGCGCCTCTCGACACCGCGACGCGTTTCACGGATGTAGGCTCCCGGCTTCGCGTCGCCGACCGCACGTACGAGTGCGTGGAGGGGCGGTGCTTTGCCTTCGACGACTCCTTCGAGCACGAGGCGTGGCACGACGGCGACCGCACGCGCATCGTGCTCGTCTTCGACGTCTGGCACCCCGATTTGCACGACCGCGAAGTGCAGTTCCTCTCGCTGCTGCAGCGCTCGCGCCTGCGTGCAGAGATGAAGCGCGCGGAGGCGGCGGCCGAGCGCGCCGCGCGAGGGTGCGCGGTTGCGAACGCCTCGCTCGTGGCGAGGGAAGGGGGCGGGCGCGAGGAGGAAAGCGCGCCGTTGGCGCGGGGCGACAACTTTTTTCAGCTGCTGCGCGACGCGAAGAACGCCTTGCCTGACAACGAGTGGTGGGTGTGAGTCGTGACAGCCATGCTCACCCAGGCGCCATTTCAGGCGCTGGTCGGAACGCGCTCGACCGAGTGCGTGCTCGACAGACTTTGTGGGGACCCGTTGTCAGGCAAGGCGCGGCGCGGAGATCCTATCCTTTAAAGAGTCGCTCTAGTTGGGAATTTTCCCCGCGACCCGCGTCGGTACTCGGTTAGCGGCCTCTGGGCCGGCGCGGGGCCCCCCGGAGGCACCGTGCGCCGCGCCGCAGTGCGGAAACGGGGCTCCGGCTCCGCTAGTCTCAGCTAGCACCGACTTATCGATTAAGTACGGTTAAGTAGAGGGCAGATTTGGAAAGATCTCGAGGAGTACATACAGATAGACCCTCCAACCATCAGAAAACTCCGACCTGATCGGTCGTACTGACCGCCGACAGGTCACTCCAGACAGCAGACAGGCCGCGACGTCTGCACGCGGCCGGCCGGGCGAGAGGCTTGACACGATCCGACCCTGCGACCCTGACGCTGCTGCTCTAGCTATCAGCCATGCACTGCTGACTGCTGCCACAATGTGCGACCTGTGCTGGCCCACTTGGCGGCCTTCCCGGTCAGTGGTGAGGCGCAGTTCAGAGCTGTCGATGGCGCGATGCCGCACTGGTCCCACATTGGTGACACGATACCACCAAGTTTGCCGGTCCAAGAGAGAGGCACCGGCGCTGTCCTGAGAAGGTGCGTGGTCCCTCTTGACTGCCCATGCGCGCGAGGCTGTGTAGGCATAGCCTCGAGAGTGCCAGCAGCCAATCCGAGGTGACGCGCATTGCGTCAGAAGCGTGCACACGATGGAAGGACACCTTCCTACTGGCCGTACGATCAGGTCGTCACCGAATGCTTGATACTAAGGCCGCGAGCTATGCAGGTGATCAATTGTGCATCATGGCACGGTCAGCTGCGCCGACAGGCTGTCGCAAGGCGTGATAGCATGGCCGCAAGTACGCCGAATTCCCATGAAAACAAGTAAAAAAACGCCAAAAAAGAAAAACAATCCGAAAAAATCGGCGCCTGCGGCGGGCCATGGGACCCCATCTCCCCCCCGCATGGACACCCTCTGGGGCCCCCGCGCCGGCCCAGAGTTAGCGGCGCGCGAAGAGAGCAGACAGCAGAGCGGATCTCCGAGACTCGCCAGGCTGTCATCAGATAGAGCTTGATAGGACGGCGCGACCCGGGGCGCGCCCTCTTTTCGGCTGCCCCCTGGTTCTAAGCGGGACGCGGTGGTCTGCAACTCTGTCTGCACACTTTTTGGGGCTGCGGCTTTGCCGGGGAGTAATACACATCTCAATAGTCAGCCCCGGGAGTTGAGGGAGACACCGCGATGGCCGGTGAGCGGGGCGGCGGAGAACTCTCATAACATTCATGACTCAGCTACCCCCCCCCCCCCCCCCCTCCCTCGCATGTGCCGAGGGCCTCGGCCCTGGCAGCGGCCGGCGCTCACTTCTTGGCCTTGCCGCCGCCCTTTTTGGCAATCGTCTTCTTGGGCGCGCCGCCCTTGGCCGCGGCGCCGCCCGCCGCATCGGACGGACCGCTTGCCGCGCCCTGCACCGGCTTCCACTCGGGCAGCGCGTCGGTGATGGCGCTGTCGGTCGCGGCGAGTAGGAGGGTGTGGGCGAGGCCGCACGCCACCTGCGCGACGTGTGCACCCTCGAGCAAATCGACCTTCTTCGGGCGCGCCGACGACTTTGGGCCGAGCTCGCCATACCCCAGCTCGCCGCACGAGCAGGCCGGGCCCCACGAGATGACCGAGCTGTCGGCGCCCACGACGGTGTGGACGGAACCGCACGCGAGAGCCTGCACCTTCCAGCCGCTAAGGTCCTGCTCGACGGTGGGGCTCATCCAGCAGTTTTGCGAGGCCGACTTGACCCTCCCCCACATGTAGAGCGAGGAGCTGCTCGCGCACACCACGCCCGAGTGGAGGACGGCGTGGCCCGTCGCGGCGGTGAAGGCGGAGCCGCAAACCACGCGCGTCGCGCGCAGCCCGGGCAACTCGGCCGGCGTCCACGCGTCCTTCTGGTCCTTGTGGCCAAGCCTAGGCGGGCGGGCAGAGCGTGGGGCCTCAGGGGCAAGGGAAGAGAGCCTCGCCGCCCCACCGCGCCCCTCGCGCGCGCCTGCCGTACCCGCCGCACCCCCAGGTGAAGCAGCGTCCCTCCTCGTCCACCGCAGCGGAGTGCTGCGGCCCGCAAGCGGCGTGGACCATCTTTCGCCCCGCCAGCTTTGGCACCTTGAGCGGAGCCGCCTCGGTCGCGTACGCCAGCTTGATCGACGAGTCCGACTTGTTGTACTGCCCGTCCGTCCCGTTGCCCAGCACGCCGCACTCGGACGAGCCGAACGCCCACAGGGTGCCCTCGCGGTCTATGACCAGGTTGTGGGCGCCGCCCGCCGCCACGTACGCCGCGCCGGCGGCCAGGCCCGGCACGGCGACGGGCGTCGCCTCCATCTCGCGCCTCTTGTCAGCCGACGGTCCGACGCAGCCCTCCTTGGAGGAGCCACTCGCGAAGAGGTCGCCCTCCGCGCCGAGCCAGAGGGTGTGGTGCTTCCCGGTCGCCGCGGCGGAGAGGGGCGTGCCCTGCAGCGCGGTCACCTCGGTCGGGCCGGCGCGCGTGAGCGTGTCGCCCAGCCCGAGCTGGCCGCACTGGTTGCGGCCCCAGGCATAGGCGGCTCCGCTGGCGGAGAGGGCGATGCAGTGGGAGGAGCAGGAGGAGGTCGCGACGAAGGCCACCTTGACGCCGGGCAGCACCAGCCGGCACGGCCCCATCAGGTTGGGCGCCGACTTGGTGTGCGCCTCCTTGCCCTTGCCGAGGTTGTCCCAGTTGGTGCCTGCGCCGCACACGCAGGGGACGGAATAGCTGTCACTGAGCAGACCGCGGAGAGGGCAGGAGCGCACCGCCAAAGACGACCAGGGTGGTGTCGTCGGGGATCGAGAGGGCCGGGGCGGAGACTTTGAAGGGCGGCGCGTCGGACGACTGCGACTGCTGGGCGAGCATCTTGCGGTACATCTCTTGGGCGTTCATCAGCCTTGGCTTGCCGCTCTTGCTTTGCCGCGTTGATGCAAACAAAAAGAATTACATCAGTGCTTCGACCGCCAGTGGATGTGGGAGTCCACCGCGCACCGCGCTGCGAGCCTGTCGTGTCCCTTGTCAGGAGCAGGAGAGCCCCACCTGTCCCCCTGATCGTCCTTCCAAAATCCTGCTCGTGCAGGTGGGGACCTTGTCCTCGTCCCACCCATCCCTCGTTTGGCGTGTCTGTTTTCTTTCTTTCTTTTAAGAGGACCGCCGCAAGCGGCGTGGCGTGGAGGTTGTGCATCCCTCCGGGGGCCCCTCTGCGCCGGGGAGGCGTTGTTGGAGGCTAGGACGCAAGCGTCCGTCGCCTTTTTCAAACTCGGGGCCCACTCCGCTACGCTCCGACCCGAATTTGGAGGGCCTATAAGGTGTTGCTGCGCAAAAGGGGTCGGACACCGGGCGCAGCTCATGCTAAGAGCTAGAAGAGGAGATAGAGAGAACAACCACCCTGTCCCGTTATTGCGTATACCAACACCACAAAACGCTCTCTCTCTCCTGTCCTCACTCAGGGGGGTCACAACTACCAAGTCCCTCGACTAGCTGCCACAGGGCGCAGCTGCCACAGGGCGCAGCTGGAGACGCTCCCCCTCAATCGGCATCCACCCCCACCCGCTCCAGCCCCACTTCTGCTGCCGAGAGAGCTGAATCGAAGCAAGCGAGCCATTGCATCTTGGCGTGCTCCTGGAGCGCGGCTTTCTGCGGCCACGAGCACGGCGGAGTCGGCGTCGTAGCGCGCATCGTTCCCGCTCATCGCCCATTCCTCCCACGTGACGTGTGTCGGCCGCGATTCGATGTCGCCACCTTCATCGCCAACGAGGACTCCCTCGACTGCAGGGGGGCTCCGGCGCGGGGAGGGACTCCGCCTGCTGCGCTGGCCGACTGCGCCCTCCTCCTCCATGGGCTCGATCCGATTCCGCAGCGGCGGTGCTGCGCGGGAGGCGGCCGCGGGCACGCTGGGCTCCATCAGCGGCTTTCCCCTCAGGTACTCGAGTACTCATAGCGCGAAAGCACGGATTTGGCGGATCTTGGCTTCAATTTTACGAATGTCAACACAAATTGGCACCAGCTGAAGGCTTGCCCCCGTCCACGGCCCAGATCACGCAGTTCGTGCACGGCATTCGGATTTTGCTATTTGTTCGTGTGGGGGTATATTGCAGATTTGTCAATGGTACCGCGTCTGCGACGCGGGCGCCTTGCGGGCAGAGCCCTTAGGACACCCTTTTATCTTGCGCGGTCAAAAATAGAGCGGAGGCCTCTACCGAACCTTTCGGACCTTAAGACAGCATTGTAGATCCCTGGGCGAGGGTGGTGGCGTCCCCGTCGGGAAAGAATTTCCTCGCGGCTTACGGCCGCTCGCGTAGAGCCCCTCAGATGATTGGGGAGAGAGAGATGTTAGAAAACCAACAAGAAATCACGCCTGCCACAGTGATTTGGGCTCGCTCGGCAGCTTGTCAGCCCTCAGCCGAAGCTGGGGCCGGTCCCGTAGCCGAGAGAGCCCGCGCCGATGAGTTCGACGCAGTCGGGGGGGCCTGCGGAGAGACCAGCGAGGTGGCGATCGCTGTACTTCATGGCGCCCTCAAAGACAAAGTGGGGAGCACTTGGAGTGGGGCTGGCTGACTCGCCAGAGGTCGATACTCTGGACGACCCATAGGATGCCACGAATGCCTGAAGGGTGAAGGAGAGGGAGGCGAGGCCAGAGGGAGAGGCAGGCTCAGCTGCTCTCGGGTGATCTCACTTTGGTGGCTGAAGGACCCGATGGTCCTGTCACATTCGTGTTCCGAGTCGTGGGGGTAGAAGAATTCGAGGTAGAATCGAGTCAGCACATCCTTGTAGTACAGCGGACCGCCAGGCTCGCCAGCAGCATCCGCAGGGAGGCAGCATATGAGGCACCAGTCTTCTGGAGAGCTCAACAGCTGCGGCCGCGATGGTAGAGTCGGCCGCGAGCGAGCAGCTTTTGGCTGCGGGATCGAATCGCGGAAGGCCCATGCCCTCGCGGAGCGACGCGGGTCGCGCGGCGCGCGCGTGTGCGAATGCGACAACAGACGACAGACGACCGTGGACCGACGCCTGAGCTCTGTACGACTGAACGACCGTCGCCGCAATCGCCACCGCCGCCATTTTTGACGAGCAGCGCGAGCGCACTCGTCGGCGGCGAGCCGTCGCGGGCCGGGCCGAGCCCGGCCTCGACCGGCCGCGCCGCCGCAGCAGGCCGGGAGGCCCGAATGGCGGCCGACCAGCTGAGGATCCTTTCTTCTCCCCCTTTTTTGCTCCCTCTCTTCTTGATGATTGGTCAGATGAATAGTGCCACCCGGAGCGAGGGATCTGGAGGGGAGCACAAATAGGAGGCCCAGACTTGCCCTCGTGCCGCCGAGTGCGCGTATCCTATGTGACTTGTGAGAGAGATCCCCTGTGCCCTTGTGCCCAGCGCCCTCTCCGCGCCGCGCCCCACCCCCTCGCTTTTCCTTCTGCCCTTGGGGGCTTCTAAAAGAAACAACAGAAAGTAGGCGGGGCAAATCTCGGCGCCTCCGGGGTTCGGTACACACACACACACGGCGCCCCCTCCGCCGCGTGTGTGCAATGTGCAAGGTCCTCGACCTCGAGGCGAGGTACCACAAGGTCGAGGCTCCCGCTGCGGCCACTCACGAGCTGCTCCACTTTCTCCTCGGCATGGGACTCGGCTGGATCTCGGTGCAACCCACACCCGCACCCGCGCGGCCCACACCTGCACTTCTCAGCTCTGCCCTGCTGCCCCCGCTCCGCCCGGCACAGCATCGTCACCTCTGGTGAGCCCTGGAGCGTCTCTCATTCTTCGCGCTCCTTTCGCCCTCACCATCCTCGCTCTCTCCAGGTTCCGGCCCTCTCGGTCGAGGCGGCGCAGCTGCAGCTCGAGCAGCCCGAGGGGCTGCAGATAACTGCGCTCACCGGCGCGGTTGGCACCGTCGGCAGCTCCATCGTTGTTCCTGCCTTTTTGGCCCTGCAGGCAAGCGCAGCACCGCACTTCCGCTCTGTTGCGGCCACCTCAGCTGCCACCGTTGCACACATGGCCCACCACCACGACACCGCAACAGCCCACCTTCTCACCAACGTCGCCGCGGATCACTTCACCATCGCCGATGTCGCAGCGCCGCCGATGACCCCCCCCCCCCCCCCCCCCCTGGTCCATGTGCATCAGTCCTGCGCGGCGACAGAGATTGACCTATGGGTCCGCATTGCGCTGGCTGCACACCTGTTGGCAACGCTGTTGGGCGCCTCGTTGAGCCACGCGACGGTGGGCGGAGCCTCTGTCGTGCTCTATCTCATCGCGTTCCTCGGTTCCCTCGCGGCCAACCTGCAGCGCCTCGCCGCGATGCCGTGGGTGATGCAGCACGGATCGCATGCCAGCGTCTCGTGGCTCCTCGCGGGCGGGCTCGCCGCTCTCCGAGACGTGGTTGCCCGAGTTGAGCTGAGGCCCTCTCCGCAGGCGGAAACTTCACGGCGCTGGTGTGTGCGCTGCTCGGCGTGTGGCAGCAGCCTGGTGGTGAGGCTCGCATCAGCGTTGGGGGCTACTTCGGCCTTCTCGCCCTCGTCGTCCTTGCCGCAGCCGCCTCGTACATCCTCCTGCGCCGGCGCCGGTCGGCTGCGGCAGCCTTGGACCTGAGTCCGACCTCGCTGATGAAGAGGAGCCCCTCTTCGGTGATGGCCGAGCAACCTGGCGGCGACGGGGGGGGCGGCGCCTCTGGCGGCGGCAGCGCGAGCCTCTCCCTATGGCCGCTGCCGCGCTTTGCGACCCACGCCGAGGTCGCGCTCTGCACGGCGACGAACGCACTCGTGCAGACCCTCTGCTGGGTGAAACCATTGGCCCCAGTCCCCAGAGGCGAGGTGCGGTTCTCACAGCCCCCGACCCCCCTTTCCCAGGTAATGATTGGCTTCTTTGTGCCGTTTGCCGCGAACCACGCGGCGGGCGGGGTCCGCGAGGGAAGCGTCCTGCTCGGCTATACCGCCGAGATGAGCACGGTCGCCGTCTTTGTCGGCTCCGTCTGCTCGGCCTACCTTCCGAACGCGGCACTGCATTGCTGGGCGACCATGGCGGCGATGCTGGCGTGTTTCTTTGCCGTCGCTGCGCTCGCTTTCGGCGCCCACTTGCCGGCGCCCTGCCCGCTGCTGCAGTGCGTCTGCACAACGGCGCGGTTCACGACGGGTTTCCCCTTTGATGACCCCGCGAATCACCCGAGATTTCCTTGTCGGTGAGGCGCGATTTATCGATGGGCTTGTCACGCCGCTGTTGTATCGGCGGGCGGGCGAGGCCTTTGACGGCGGCGAGAAGCAAGCGGTGACGCAGTGGCAAGGGTCGGCTGCGTCGCTTCGCACGGGTCCGGTTTGACCACATGCCTTACAGGTCTCGGCTTGTGAGCAGGTGCTGCTCCATCGTCTTCACCGCCACCCTCACTTGGGCTGCAGTCGCGGTGGTCAAAAGCGGCGCCATGGGGTCGTAGGGGGACAAACGCCGCTGGTGTGTGTGTGTGTCGTGTGTGTGTGTGTGTGTGTGTGTGTGTGTGTGTGTGTGTGTGTGTGTGTGTGTGTGTGTGTGTGTGTGTGTGTGTGTGTGTGTGTGTGTGTGTGTGTGTGTGTGTGTGTGTGTGTGTGTGTGTGTGTGTGAAGAAAGAAAGAAAGAATTTTACAACAAAACTCCCTCGCACAAGAAGCAAGAACAATTTTGACCGCGCAAGATATAAAGGGAGTCCTAAGGGCTCTGCTCGCAAGGCCGCCCGCGTCGCAGACGCGGTACCATTGACAAATCTGCAATATACCCCCACACGAGCAAATAGCCAAAATCCGAATACCGTGCACGAACTGGGCGATGTCGGCCGAAGAAAGAAAACAGACACGCCAAACGAGGGATGGGACGAGGACAGGGTCCCCACCTGTGTTAGTGCCAGTGCGCGCCAGTCCCGAAAGAAAGAAAGAAAACAGACAACCCAAACGAGGGATGGGGGAGGAGAGGACAGGGTCCACACCTGCACGAGCAGGATTTTGGAAGGACGATCAGGGGGACAGGTGGGGCTCTCCTGCTCCTGACAAGGGACACGACAGGCTCGCAGCGCGGTGCGCGGTGTCGGCCGTGCAAGCCTTCAGCTGGTGCCAAGACTTTTACGGGAGCACTGCAACAACAACCAAACGCGGGGGTCTATATTGCAACACATATGGAGAGCTTCCTGCGTGACCTCGGGGAGGCGCGCGACGCCTGCAACAAGCTTCCTTTTGACGATGCGCTGCGCTACAAGATAGCTGCCGAATTGGATCGCATCGAGGCTGCTCCGCCTCTCGAGCGCATGTTGGTGACGAAGCCGCTGATCGAGGGATGGAGGACATTGGTCAGTCGGCAGAAGGATCCGTCCATCAAGACGCGTCGTCAGGCTGCGCTCACCGCCATGCTGCGCGTCGTCGACCGCCTCCCCGCTCGGGGGCCAAGCCAAGGTGCTGCGTACCCGAGTAGCCTTACCGTAGGAACCTTTCATGCTCCAGGGTGACGCAGCCAGCCCCATCCGCCTCCCTTGCACAGACTCTTCCCGCTTGACTGAAGAAACGAGAGGGGTGAGGAACCACCCCGACCCAGTCAATGGCGCGTCGGGGCCAGCGCCTTCAAATGCGCCCCAACCCTCCACTGCTGCCGCCTCATCCTGCGCTGCCACCGGTGCGCGCCGGCTCGAGGCTTTCCGGGCACACGAGGACACAAGGCGGAAACGTCTGCCCACTGTCCGCGCAGGTGTGCGGCGCACGTCGAGAGCGACGGCAGGGCGTGCTCCTGGACGTCTCATAGAGGAGGAGCCGCCGGATGACGCGGCGACAGCACGCCAACAAATTCCGGTGGAGAGTTCGGCCGCTCGGCTTCGGCGGATGGTGTACGAGGTCTACCTGCGGCATGGGGAAGTTGTGTTGCCGGGTGTGGTGCGGGCCGAGATTCCGGGAATTGCGGTCGACGCATCTGGCAGATCGCGTCCGCTGGAGCGAGCGATCATTGCAGCGAGATCATTGCAGCGAACCGATGGCGGGAAGAAGGCCGCCCCCTCCCACGGTCGTCGTACACGACGGACGACTTGCCCATGCGTGAACGGCTGGACCGGCTTGAGCGCGCGATGGCCCTGCTTGGAGAGGAGTGCCCGCCACGGCATGCCGGGCGAGCGACCGCACCCTCGAGCCGTCACGACCCCGACCGTCGTCAGCTTCTCTGCGTGAATATGTATGGCTAGCGTGCTTCCACTGCGCGCCCGCGCCTGCGGCGCCGCCGCGGCTCCCCACCCTTTTGCGCAGCAACACCTTAAACTTTTCAGGCCCTCCAAATAGCAAATTCGGGTCGGAGCGTAGCGGAGTGGGCCCCGAGTTTGAAAAAGGGCGACGGACGCTTGCGTCCTAGCCTCCAACAACGCCTCCCCGGCGCAGAGGGGCCCCCGGAGGGATGCTCAACCGCTCCACGCCACGCCGCTTGCGGCGGTCCTCTGCCAGCTCCACTGAGGGCCCGTGCGTTATTTTCCGATCGGCACGTTGCAGTCTGGGTTATCTCCGACACGATGTCCTTCGCATCGCTCCGTCGGCTGCGCCCAGACGAAGTGCCGGCTGTCCGCCGCGATCCAGTCGAGCCCAAGGCGCGCGCGGCCGCGGAGCCCATTGTGGAGGCGGTCCGCTCCGAGGGTGAACCAGCGCTGCGCCGCTTTGCCGAGCGCTTTGGCGAGCTCAGCCCGGGCGATGCCCTGGTGTACCGGCGCGAGGTCGAGCTCAAGGCGGCGTGGGAGTCCATCTCGCAGGAGGAGCGCAACTGCCTCGCGCGCACCGCCCAGCGGATCCGCCACTTTGCTCGCTCGCAGCGCTCCTCCGCCTCGGAGATCTCCGTGCCAATCCCGGGAGGAGAGGCAGGGCACACGCTGGCGCCGGTGGAGAACGCGGGCTGCTACGCGCCCGGCGGACGGTACCCGCTGCCGTCGACAGTCCTGATGACCGCCGTCACCGCACGGGTCGCCGGCTGCGCGCGCGTCTGCGTCGCCTCTCCGCGGCCGACAGCGGTGACGCTCGCCGCCGCCTACATCGCCGAGGCAGACCAGCTGATCCCGGTGGGAGGGGCGCAGGCGATCGCGGCGCTGGCGTACGGCGCGGGCCCGATCGGCGCGTGCGATGCCGTCGTCGGACCGGGTAACATGTACGTTACCGCCGCAAAGTCGCTCGTGTCTGGCCGCGTCGCGATCGACATGCTCGCGGGTGAGCGCCACCGCAAACACCTCCGCCCTCGCCCTCCTCCGCCCGTCTGCCGTCTCCCCTCGCCGTCCATGCCCCACCCTCGACGGCCCAGCCCCCTCACCCCGCCACCCACAGCTACTCCGCTGACCCCCGCCCCGCTCTCCCCGTTCGCTAGGCCCGTCCGAGTGCCTAGTCATCGCAGACGGCAGCGCCTCGCCCGCGGTGGTGGCAGCCGACCTCCTCGCGCAGGCGGAGCACGACCCGGCGGCGCTGCCCGCCCTCGTCTGCCTGACGGAGGAGTTCGCCGCGGCGGTCGACCGCGAGCTGGCGGCGCAGCTGGCGGTGCTCCCCACTCGCGAGGTGGCGGCGGAGGCGCTGCAGAACGGCTACACGGTCGTGGTGGCGAGCCTGGACGAGGCGGTCGCCATCAACGATCGGCTGGCCGTCGAGCACGTCGAGCTGCACGTCAAGGAGTCGATGGCGCTCGCCCGCCGGCTGAAGCACTATGGCGGCCTCTTCGTCGGCGCCGGTGCGGCGGCGCCGCTCCGCATGTTCTGGCTGTGAATGGCGCGCCTCTCCACAGCTTGAGTCGCGAGCAGGCGCGGCGGAGGTGCTCGGCGACTACGGCGCTGGGCCGAACCACACGCTGCCCACGGGCGGCACCGCGCGCTCCTTCGGCGGCCTCTCCGTCTTCACCTTTTTGCGCACGCGCACCTGGATGCGCATCGACGACGCGCACGCCGCCGGCACCATGATCAGCGACGCAAAGCGGCTCGGCGAGATGGAGGGCCTCTTCGGGCGCGCCGTCTGCTCTCGCGTCGCCGAGGAAGCGCACGGGGCGGGCGGTGAGTCGCCGCGACTCCGAGTAGGCACGCCGCTGCCGCTGCTGCCCGGCTGGCCTCCGCGCCCAACGGCACCGGCTCGCCCTCCAAACGCGACGTGTCCACCAAGCGGTGGGACACCACCTCGGACCGGCTGCACTTTGCCCTGCCCAAGAAGGGGCGCATCGCCGAAAAGTGCCTCCAGTTCCTCAAGGCGTGCCGGCCGGCCGTGCCCCCCGCGCTCACCCTCCGCGCCCCAAACAGCCGCGCCCTCCTCCCGAGTAGGCGTCTGGCCTCGAGTACGACCGGCCCGCGCGTGTCCGAGGCCGTGGCGGCACCTGTCCGGAGCACGTCCACGACGTGTCCATGCCGTGCCCCATAGGCCCGAGCGTGTCGACGTGGCGCTCGTGCGCAACTTGCCGATCACGCTCGTCTTCCTGCCGGCTGCCGACATCGCAAAGTACGTGGGCGAGGGGAACGTCGACCTCGGCATCACGGGCGAGGACATCATCGCCGAGGCGGGCGTCAGCGTGGAGCGCGAGATGGCTCTCGGCTTCGGGAGCTGCCGCCTCTCCCTGCTCGTGCCGACGCAGCACGCGAGCGCGCGTGCCTCCGACTACGCAGGCTGCCGCATCGTCACATCCTTCCCCGAGGTGACACGCGCTTTCTTTGCGCCGCTCGACGCCGCCGCAGGCTGCGCCACCTCAATCAAGTTCGTCTCCGGCTCGGTCGAGGCGGCCTGCAAGCTCGGCCTCGCCGACGCCGTCGTCGATTTGGTCGAGACCGGCACGACGATGCGCGCCGCTGGGCTGTGCGAGCTGGAGACGCTGCTAGAGACGCAGGCGCGTCTCCTCCCGCGCAGGGCCGCGCCTCGCTCCCCGAGCATGGCCGCGCGAGCGGCGCCTCCCCTTCACGACAGGCGTGCCTCATCTCGAACCCGCACTCGCCGCACCGCGAGCTGATCGCAAAGATCAAGGCGCGCATCCAGGGGCACCTCGACTCGACTAAGTACCGGCTGGTGCAATACAACGCGAGCCGCGCCATCCTGCCGCAGTGCGCGCGCACCGTGCACAGGCGGGGAGAGGCCTGGGAGCCCGCTCACTGCTCTGCCCGTGGACAGGTGCGTCCGCATCACGCCCGGCAAAAAGTCGCCCTCCATCCTCCCGCTCGAGGACCCCGAGTACGTCGCCGTCTCCGTGATGGTGCCCAACAAGGAGCTCGCCGAGCGCGTCGACGAGCTCATCGCCATCGGCGCCACCGACGTGATGGTCTTCCAGATCCAAAACTACCGCTGATAGTCTGTTCGTCTCGGCTCGAGCCTCTGGAGATGCTCCCGACCGCAGGCTCGATTCAGTCTCGGCCCCTGGCTCGACGGCACTGCAATAAACGGCGTAGCGTGGCCTTTGGTTTGGCCCGGTGTCCTCGTTGGCTTGTGCTGTGGAGGGAGTCCCGCAGCGAGCAGTCTTCAGCGCGCGAGGTACGCACCAGAAGCCCTCCATTAGGGAGACCACGAGAGATGTGTCCAGGCCATGTGTATCGGGAGATATGGGATATATATGTGCCCCAGGGAGTATATAACTTATGTCTGTACAGTGATTATTTGTGGCTGGCTTGGGTTTTTCCCTATCGCTATCCCACAGCCTCTCATGAGATCCGCGCGAAATCCCAGACTGGTGGATTTTGGGGCGAGCTGCCGGCACCCCCCCGCCCCCCGATCGAAAAGACTTACAAAAGAGAGCTCTGGCGATCAGGCTGGCCGCGCGCGTACCCGCGTACGCGGCCCGCGGTACGCGGCTACGGGCCAGTTAGCCTCCCCAGGTCGAGCAGCAGCATCCGCAGCTTCGAGAGAGAGCTCGGACCCGAGCGAGGTCACCGAGCTCCGAGGGGTAGTCTTCCTGTGGCTCCTGCGTCCTGCCGGCGGCAGAGCGATGCGAGCCGGGCGATAGATACAGCGATCGCCAGCGCCGTGGCGCCCGTGCGGCAGAGGCGGCCAAGGTCGGTCTCGCCCGCGGCCCCCGTGAGAACACAAAATACGCGAAGCACAAGAATCTCCCACGAGATCTCCCGTGGATCGAATATTTCAGGAGAGGAAATGCTTGGCTTGCCCCGGTCTCTCCCTTTTCTTCCATTAAGCAATCCCGCTACTTAATCGAAGGGTGGGCGTGCACTTGGAGCACTTCGATTGCAGTTGAACGTGCTTTCACACAAAAACACAACCCCAGGACCCAAGACGCACACTTTCACAGCCAGACAAGATCTCCCGCTGACCTGAAATCTTTGATCAACACAAAATGCTTGGACTACGACATAGTTCTCCCTCCAAAACTCATGTGCACGACGGGCTGAGCCCTGGCCTCGACACCTCGACACCAAACCTCGACACCGACTCGACAACTCGACACCCCACGCCAACTCGACCAACTCGACACCCCTCGACACCCTTCGACACCCCTCGACACCATCTAGGCTGGGACCATGCTCGACTGTGTCAAGGTCCCAAACTCGACACCTCGACACCCCTCGACACCGCTCGACACCGCTCGACACCCCTCGACACCCCTCGACACACTCGACACCGCTTCATATCCAGCCGGCGGCCTGCCAGCGGCTCTCTTCTTGCTTTTCTGACTGCAAAACATATAACTCCCCCCCATTCCCCCTCTCCCCTCCCTCTCTAGCTCTCTCCTCTCCCTCCCCACTCACAGCAGCAGTAGTAGTAGTCTAGTAGTAGTTAGTAGTCGCAGTAGCAGTAGTAGTGGTAGTGGTAGTAGGAGCGGCCGCACACTGCTCGCTCCTGCACATCTAAAGCCATCCCTGCTGCTAGGGGGGGGGGGGGTCTCGTGCTTGACACAGAGTCAGACTGCGGCGGCACAGCAAACCGCACAGGAAGAGCTCGATAGGGAGCGAGAACCGTCAAAGGTGCTCACGCAGGTTTCGAACGTCCGTCATGGTGCGGTCAAGTTCCCCCCAGGTTTGACCGCGTAGCTCTCAAAGCCAGGCGAAAAAATCTTGCCGTCTGCGCCACTCTGCGCTGCGTGTCGTGCTGTGTGCGAGAAGAGCCGTCGCTGCGCGGAGGTCACGGGAAGAGTGGGTCGCTTATTCGTTCGACCGCTTTATTGCCGCGATCAAAACTAGGTACACGCCACACACCAGACGACATGTACTCTCCCACCCGACAACCGGCAAAACGCTGTCGTGAGCCAGCCGCTTTTGCGGCAGCCGACCGCGGAGATCGAGCGCGCCGCGTGCGCGGAGATCGACATGGCGAGACCGTCATCCCGTACGATGCCGCTGGCGCGTCGGCGCGAGCCTGCGGCTCGGTGGAGGGCTCCACGCTCGGCGCGGCGGAGGTGCGCCGGACTGCACCACTCCCGCACCACCCCCGACTCGGAGCGGTGCAGTTCATATGAAACTGCGCACCGCTCCGGTGCACCGCTCCCGTGCGCAATTAGGAGCGGGGGTGGGCCAGGTGGCGTGCCCCTCTAATGGGGGGTGGCGTTCCCACGGGGGCTGCCTTCCCACGAGCTGGCCACATCTTCCTATCTCTTTGATATACTTGGTACATCTTCTCAATCGCTCGTGGCGAGGAGCTTCTCCGTGTTCGACGATGTCGAACAATGTTCGACATCGTCGAGTAACCGCCTGTCGCCCCCCCCAGCACACACGGTGCCAAGGGCTCAAACAACAGCACACAAACACAGACAGGTGACAGGGAGCAACGTGTGAGACTAGTGAGACTAGAGCTCTCGTCTCTCGGAAAAGGAAAAAAAGGGAGAAGAGGAATGGGGATAAAAAAAAGGAAAGGTGCGCGCGAGATCAATTGGAGATTTCTTCGATCATCTTTCAGGATGCTGGGCTTGATCATCCTGCCGGCCTTGCCGCGCCCCCTGGCCAGCGTTCAGGGAGGAGCTCCCGCCTGGACGGTTCGCAGCGCGGACGAGCGGCGGCAGCTGCGGGGGCCGGTCGCCCTGCGCTCGCCTCCAGTGGTGGCCTCTTTCCACGCTTCGAGCGGCGCGGCCAGTCCAGTCGCCAACGGGGCTGACTTTATGACGGCGCAGGGTGGTTGCCGCAGCTGGTCGGTGCGCGGCGCCGACGAGCGGCGCCAGCTCCGGCGGGGCAACGCTGCGCCGGACCGCGCCGCCATCACCCGCACCACCGCGCTGGCGGAGGCAGGGCCAGTCGAGGCCGGGCCAGTCGAGGCTGGGCCGGCGGCGGACGGGGCCGACTTTATGACCGTGCAGGGGGGGTGCAGCAGCTGGTCGGTGCGCGGCGCCGACGAGCGGCGCCAGCTCCGGGGGGGCAACGTTGCGCCGGACCGCGCCGCCATCACCCGCGCCGCCGCCGCGCCGGCCAACAAGGCTGGGCCAGCCAACTCGGCCCAAGCGTCCGTAGCGGCGGTCCAGCCCCTCAGCCGCAAGCGCATGCCGGGCGCGCCTCGCGATGCGGCGCTCGCGTGGTGGGCGGAGGACCCGGAGCACGCGTCGGTGCAGGGCGGCTGCGGCAACTGGTCGGTGCGCGGCGCGGAGGCGCGGCCCCAACTGCGCGGCTGGGTCGCCCCGACACGCACTCCCGATGCCAGCCGCCCCAGCGCGCCGCCCACCTGGGCGGACTCTGTCGAGCACGCGTCGGTGCGCAGCTCGTCGGTTGTCGGCTGGGCCCCCTTGCCGTCGCCGTGACCCTCCCCCGCCACACATGGGTAGGTGCAGGGTGGCTGCCGCAACTGGTCGGTGCGCGGTGCGGATGCTCGGCCCCAGCTCCGAGACTAGAGGCCTCGTGTTTCCCCCCCAAACTTTTGCCGAACCTCCCGCCCGCTTGCCCCCCCCCCCCCCCCCCCACCACGTCAAACTGGCACATGACTAGGTGCCCCAAGTGCAAGTCGATGAAGACGAGCTACGTCGAGGTACCTGCCACACACGAACGCCAACCCAGCGCGCCCCAAGTTGCCCCCCCTCCCACCGCTGTGCCGTGGCACAGGTGCAAACCCGCTCGGCAGACGAGCCGACCACCAAGAAGTGCCTGTGCACAGACTGCACGTGCGCGCACTCGTACCCATGCACTCCCCTCCAAACAGCCGATCGCAAGCCCCTTCCCCGTTTGGTTCCAGGTATCGATGGAAGTTTTGTTGAGACGGCGGCTAGTCCGTGCACCCCACCCTCCTGCCTGCACCAAGACGCCGGAACGCGCGGGCGGCGGCGGCGGCGGCGCGGCGGCGACGGCGCGCTCCGTTTTCGATCTCTGGCGTGGAACCCCCGTCCCGCACAGCTTTGCTGCTCAAGCGCGTAGTGCATGGGCCGCGCCCCCTTCAACACACAGCAGCTAGCAGTAGATCATTACACGGGGCGCTGGCTCCACCTCCGGCGGCGGCGTTTCTCTCGTGCCATCTCGATCTCTCCACACAGTGGTGAGATCAATAAATAAATAAATAAAACGGACACCTCTACAGGAGATGGGTAAAAAGGAACAGGTCCCCGCCCTGCGGTCTTTGTGCAGGGTTCTTTGTGGGTGTGGTCGGCGACTAGCCGGGGTCGTCCTCCCGATGGGGGACTAGCACTAGCCGTCTTCCACATGGTCCCTCGGGTCCCTGCTGCTCCTAATCTCGTCGTACATCCTCCTGCTGATCTCCGCAACATCCTGCTCCCTCCCTCGTCTCGCCCTGCGCGTCTGCTCCGCCTCCCCGTCGTCCGCCCTGCGTCGTCTGGTGACGGGTCCTCCATAGTCGGTTGAGGTCGCCGCCCTCCTCGTGCCTCTTCCCAACGTTTCCTCGGCAGCCGATGCCGTCTGCTCCGACTCCGCCGTCCCCGGGTCTGCCCTGCCCTCGTCTGCGCTAGCTTCTGTTTCGTCATCACTGATGTCCGTCCTCTTCTTTCTGCTCTTGTTGTACTCTCTCTCTTGTTGTATGCTTGTACATCGCGTCGATTCCTTTTCGCGTGAGCACCAGCCTGAAGCCCGCCCAGCAGCTGAACCGCTCCCTAAGTCGAAGGAGCATCATCAGTCTCACCCACTTCGCTCGCTGCCGACTGTCTCCGCTCCCTCCCGCTTGGGCCGCCGTCGCGGCCCTCGTTCGTCCCACTGGCTGTTGGCCTGTCCCCTCGTTACCTCTGTTATCCCTCCTCCTCCGCGACTCCCTCAAGGCTGGCCGGGCCTCCTTCCACCCAGCGAAGAGCTTCCTCAGCCACTCAATGTGTTCCTCTCTCTTCGTTATGCGCGCGGTAGCCTCATCGTTGAGCTGGATCCACCTCTGCACCGCTCCCGTCGCCGCCTCGGCCACGACTTGCAAGTTCCTCGTAACCCCGGCGCCAAGGTCCCTCCGGCTCTTCTCCGAGAGATCATCTACCAGCGCCGGCAACACCCCCCCGACGGCTGGGGCTAGTGCATCGTACCCGTCCTCATCCAGCACCCTATAGCGTGAGCCCTTTAGCGCAGCGACATGCGCTATCCTCAGCGTCTTCAGTGTATCCTTGGAGTCGGGTGCCGCCTGTGCTACTTTGCTGATCGCCGTCCCCGTCTGCGCTCGCGCTACTCTGAGGAACCATCTGGCCTGCTCCCTATTCCCCAGGCAGGCGCCGCTAAGCAAGTGCGCCATTGTCGCCCTAGGCGGGTTCTCATCTTCCTCGGTCCATTGCTGCGCGGCTTTCCGCACGATCGGACACAGCGGGTCTCGCTTTAGTGCCGCCCTCCTCGCCGCGTCCCTCGCGGCCTTACAGACGAGGCAGCCCCTGAGTTCGCTCCTTGTGGCGGCTCCCGGGGCATCTCTCCCCGCCTCTCCCCGTATGATCCTCTCGTGGTGCGCTCCGTGTGGCACCCCCGCCTGCTGCCGCACCCGCGCTCCCATGACGGTCTTTGTCACCACGTTGTGATCATCCACGTCGGCGAATTCAATCTCGCGCTCGCCGTGCTGATCCTTGATCCGCTGGCGCTTGTCCCATTTGTGTTTTTATGCGTGCATTGGCCACTGCACTGGGAGGTGTGAGGTCTGTGCGCACACAGCCCGCAGAGGCCCGCACAAAACGACTACGATAATATTGCGGTCCGTCTCAAACCCTACGCGCAACTGGGAAAATAAATAAATAAAAACGGGCACCTCTACTCACTACTGTGTGGTGTGTGTGTGAGAGTGTGAGAACTGAGATGGGTAAAAAGGAACAGGTCCCCGCCCTTGCGATCTTTGTGCAGGGTTCTTTTACGCAACTGGGAATATTTTTGTGGAAACTGAAGAAATTACGTAAGCGGCCGGCCTTGGCGTGGAGCGGTAGTAGATGATGCGGCGCCCAGCATGCTCTATCAAGTAAGACGAAGTATCATGCCCGTCGCCCCGCAGTGGCACACACGCGGTCACAGCGCCATGCACAAGCGCACCGAGAGAGAGGACTCGTGGCCGGCCGTAGTGTACCAGAAGGCGCGTGTGTTCAGTGCACACAGTCGATGTCGCGGGAAGCGGACTGCAGGGACTCCGAGCGAGACCGAGTCCGACTCGCCTGGGCGGCCGCGCCGGGTGGCCGGTGCCGGTGGCGCGCCCCGGGGGCGCCTCTGCCCCCCCCTTTTTTGATCGCCTCGATCAACGCGCGCATGTTGGGGACGAGAAGGCGAGTGACTCAAAACTGTTTTGAGTCAGCCTCGCTCGCGCGCTGAGGTACCGAGACTAAGGGCACCCTTCGCCAGCTGTGGTCACACGTTTCCGGACGGGACGACGACGACACAAGCCTCGCCCAACCAAGCCGCAGCGCCCACCCCCCGACGGCCGCCGACCACGTCATGCTGCAGCAATGCACGTCCGAACCATGGGAGTGTGCCCGCCTCGCGAGGCAAACGAGGCGCGGCTCGCGCTAGGCGCGCTTGCAGTGAGCGGACTGGCCAGTTGAACCAGGCCGCCTGTGGGATCTAGGACGAAAACTCGGCGGTGAACTTTGTGAAGATGTCCTTCATCGTCGCGTCGAGCGTCGGGGAGATCTCGTTCGTGTCGGCGATCTCCTTGAGGACCTGCGGCGATGGCGGGGCGGCGGCGGGCTCGGCGCGGGCGGCGGCGTGGGCGGAAGCGCGGCGCAAATGGGGGGGGGGGGGGGGGCTCACCGCCGGCGCCGTCGCCTTGACGTGCGCGAGGAGCTTCTCTTGGTACGGGCCGACGTCGGTGATGGCGAGCTTGTCGAGGTAGCCGCGCGTGCCGGCGTAGATGCAGACGACCTGGTCCTGGAACTCCATCGGGACGTACTGGTTCTGCTTGAGCAGCTCGGTCAGGCGCGCGCCGCGGTTGAGGAGGTACTGCGTCGCCGCGTCGAGGTCGGAGCCAAACTGCGCAAAGGCTGCGACCTCACGGTACTGGGCGAGCTCCAGCTTGAGAGTGCCTGCAACCTGCTTCATCGCCTTGCGCTGGGCGGCGGAGCCGACGCGCGAGACGGAGAGGCCGACCTGGAGCACATGGGCCGGTGAGAGATGCGCGGGGCGGCGGCGGGCGGCGGCTGGCGGTGGACAGAGCAAACAAGCGGCGGCGGCGGCGGGGGCGGCGAAAGGGAGGCGGCTGCGCGGTGCGATGCCGGGTGGGGCGCCGCGCACGTTGATGGCGGGGCGGATGCCGCGGTAGAAGAGCTCCGACTCGAGGAAGATCTGCCCGTCGGTGATGGAGATGACGTTGGTCGGGATGTAGGCGGACACGTCGCCCGCCTGCGTCTCGATGATCGGGAGGCCCGTCATCGATCCGCCCTGCAGGTCGGCCGACATCTTGCACGCGCGCTCGAGGAGGCGCGAGTGCAGGTAGAAGACGTCACCGGGATACGCCTCGCGGCCGGGCGGCCGGCGGAGCAGCAGCGACATTTGGCGGTAGGCGACGGCCTGCTTGGAGAGATCGTCCCAGATGATGAGCGCGTGCTTGCCGTTGTCGCGGAAGTGCTCGCCGACGGCGCAGCCAGTGTAGGGCGCGAGGAACTGGAGCGGCGCGGCGTCCGAGGCGGTGGCCGCCACGATGGTGGTGTACTCCATGGCGCCCTGGTCCGCGAGTGTCTTCATCAGCTGCGCGACGGTCGAGCGCTTCTGGCCGACGGCGACGTAGATGCAGTACAGCGACTTTTTGTCGTCGCCCGCGGCGTTGATTGTCTTTTGGTTGATGATGGTGTCGATGGCGACGGCGGTCTTCCCCGTCTGCCGATCGCCGATGATGAGCTCGCGCTGGCCGCGGCCGACGGGCACGAGCGAGTCGACCGCCTTGAGGCCCGACTCCATCGGCTCGTGCACCGACTGCGGGCGCAGAGAAGCGAGTGGAGCAAGCAAGCGGCAGTGCGGGGAGGGCCGCGAGTCGGGAGCCCCCGCCCGCAGGAGCGCGCGGTGGGAGCGGTGGGAGCGGCGGGAGCGGCGGCGGGCGGCGGCGGGCGCGGCGCCAGTGAGGGGGGGGGGGGGGGGGGGGGGAACACCCCTGGGGGGAAAAAATGCCCGGGGCCTTTACCTCAATCCGCTGGCGGCTGAGCTGGCCCGTCAGCGGCCCCAGGCCGTCAATCGGGTCGCCCAGCCCGTCCACGACGCGGCCGAGCAGGCCATCGCCCACCGAGAGGTCGATAATCGCGCCGGTGCGCTTGACGGTGTCGCCCTCCTTGATGGCACGATCGTTGCCAAACACGACGACGCCGACGTTGTCGTTCTCCAGGTTGAGCGCCATGCCACGCAGCCCCGAGTCGAACTCCACCATCTCCCCCGCCTGCACCGACTGCAGGCCGTACACACGCGCGATGCCGTCGCCGATCGCGAGCACCTTGCCTATCTCCTCCAGCTGCACCTCGCCGCCATAGTCCAGCAGCTTGGACTCGATGATGGACGACAGCTCCGACACCAACGCCTGCCCCTTCTTGGCGGCTGCGCGGGCGAGGGGCAGCGGCTCAGTGGGGGGAAGGCTCCTCTCCGTCCGGCGGGCCGTGCGTGGGAGGTGCGAGGTCGGGAACGCTTGCGGACAAGGCCAGCCCGCCACCGCCGCGGCCGTGCAAAGAGGACTTGCGGCAATAATGCATGTCGTGCAAAGCGCACCGGCAGGCGCAGACACGCGCAAGCCCCTCGAGAGGGTCTGCTGCAGCTGCGGCGCGGCGCGCTGGAGGCCGGTGCGGAGAGCCTGCATCTGCGGCAGCCTACGGAGCGGGCGTGCGCGCAAGGCTTTTTGCACAGTGCAAGTTTTCGTGCACAGAGCTGCCGCGGCGCAGGCGCGCAGCGGCCGGCCCGCGGTGCCACGCATCGCGAAGCCGACTCGTGTGTGCGCCGTACGCACAGCCCCACGGCCCCCGCCCCCCCGCCCCCTCGCCGTCTGCGTGTCTCGCCCCTCTCACAGGCACAGCTCGCAGCACACCTCTGCTGCTTGTGCGTCGGCGCTAGTCTCTCGGCGAATAAAAGAAACGCTCGTCGGGCATTTATTTCGACCGGAGCGCCGCGACCTGCAACTAACAAAATTAATGTTATTTTCGGCTCGCTGTCTTCTCTCCGTCTGTCCTTGCTAATCTCTCGCCTGACACAGGTACTTTCTTCACCTTGGTGACGAGATCGGATGAAAAGAATTTCACCAGCGAGGTTGATGATGATGTCCGGGACGGTACGTGCCTATTCTTGCCACGAAAAAGAATTTTACAGCGCGGCTCCCGTGATGTGCCTGTGTTAGTGCCAGTGCGCGCCAGTCCCGTGCCTAGTGTCGTGCGAAATAGAAACAACACGCCGGGTTTAGAGCTGGGAATAGATCGCCCCGCCCCCTCGCCGTCTGCGTGTCTCGCCCCTCTCACAGGCACAGCTCGCAGCACACCTCTGCTGCTTGTGCGTCGGCGCTAGTCTCTCGGCGAATAAAAGAAACGCTCGTCGGGCATTTATTTCGACCGGAGCGCCGCGACCTGCAACTAACAAAATTAATGTTATTTTCGGCTCGCTGTCTTCTCTCCGTCTGTCCTTGCTAATCTCTCGCCTGACACAGGTACTTTCTTCACCTTGGTGACGAGATCGGATGAAAAGAATTTCACCAGTGAGGTTGATGATGATGTCCGGGACGGTACGTGCCTATTCTTGCCACGAAAAAGAATTTTACAGCGCGGCTCCCGTGATGTGCCTGTGTTAGTGCCAGTGCGCGCCAGTCCCGTGCCTAGTGTCGTGCGAAATAGAAACAACACGCCGGGTTTAGAGCTGGGAATAGATCGCCCCGCCCCCTCGCCGTCTGCGTGTCTCGCCCCTCTCACAGGCACAGCTCGCAGCACACCTCTGCTGCTTGTGCGTCGGCGCTAGTCTCTCGGCGAATAAAAGAAACGCTTTTTGCGCATTTACTTCTGGGACCGGAGCGCCGCGACCTGCAACTAACAAAATTAATGTTATTTTCGGCTCGCTGTCTTCTCTCCGTCTGTCCTTGCTAATCTCTCTTCGATCCTCGCCTGACACATGCCTATTCTTGCCACGAAAAGAGCTGGGAATAGATCGCCCCGCCCCCTCGCCGTCTGCGTGTCTCGCCCCTCTCACAGGCACAGCTCGCAGCACACCTCTGTGCTGCTTGTGCGTCGGCGCTAGTCTCTCGGCGAATAAAAGAAACGCTCTTTGCGCATTTACTTCTGGGACCGGAGCGCCGCGACCTGCAACTAACAAAATTAATGTTATTTTCGGCTCGCTGTCTTCTCTCCGTCTGTCCTTGCTAATCTCTCGCCTGACACAGGTACTTTCTTCACCTTGGTGACGAGATCGGATGAAAAGAATTTCACCAGCGATGTTGATGTCCGGGACGGTACGTGCCTATTCTTGCCACGAAAAAGAATTTTACAGGGCGGCTCCCGTGATGTGCCTGTGTTAGTGCCAGTGCGCGCCAGTCCCGTGCCTAGTGTCGTGCGAAATAGAAACAACACGCCGGGTTTAGAGCTGGGAATAGATCGCCCCGCCCCCTCGCCGTCTGCGTGTCTCGCCCCTCTCACAGGCACAGCTCGCAGCACACCTCTGCTGCTTGTGCGTCGGCGCTAGTCTCTCGGCGAATAAAAGAAACGCTTGTCGGGCATTTATTTCTGGGACCGGAGCGCCGCGACCTGCAACTAACAAAATTAATTTTATTTTCGGCTCGCTGTCTTCTCTCCGTCTGTCCTTGCTATCTCTCGCCTGACACAGGTACTTTCTTCACCTTGGTGACGAGATCGGATGAAAAGAATTTCACCAGCGAGGTTGATGATGATGTCCGGGACGGTACGTGCCTATTCTTGCCACGAAAAAGAATTTTACAGCGCGGCTCCCGTGATGTGCCTGTGTTAGTGTCGTGCGAAATAGAAACAACACGCCGGGTTTAGAGCTGGGAATATATCGCCCCGCCCCCTCGCCGTCTGTGTGTCTCGCCCCTCTCACAGGCACAGCTCGCAGCACACCTCTGCTGCTTGTGCGTCGGCGCTAGTCTCTCGGCGAATACTTGGAGCACTTGGAGCACTTGGAGTGCAGTCAGTAACCTCACATCCAGGGCCGGTGAGCTGAGAAGCGCATCCAGCGGGCCGGATGATCGGGATCGGGCTACGGGCTAGAGAGCCCTGACCCCTATCTAGGGGGGGGGCGCGCATTCGCAGGGCAAGGGCCTTAAAGTAAACACGGGTCTCCGAGGGTTAGTTCTGCGCTCCGGGGTTCCCCCAGCGGCGGAATTTTTCCCTCGCGCTGTGGGTCCCCCTAGCTGCGGAACGCCCCCTCTACTCGGAGCTAAAGAATACTCTCCGAGGGTTAGCCCCGCGTACCAGGTTTCCCCTTAACTGCAAGGACGCCCCCTCTACTCGGAGCTAGTGGACACGACACTAACTACTGATACGAGAATACATACCGCCCCCACGCAACTACTCGAAGATAATACGAGAATACGCAGCTGCGAGACGCCTATAAAGAAACAGCGAGGTAAAGTTCGGCGGCTATGATAAACCGAAAGTTGTCGTAAAACGCGGGCGAAAGCAAAGCAGAGGGCGGGCGCTTTCTGCCGCAGCGATGCCCGCAGCCTGTCGAGCAGCTTCCGCGGCGCACATGCGCCGCGGGGTTGAACGACAGCCGCGCCTCTCGAGCCACCCGTGCCACGCGCGGCGACGCGCACCCTGCGCGCCAGTCGGCGCACTGGCAGTACTGCACCAGCCAGCACGGCGTGGAGCAATGCATCCAGGGCATTGTGTTGGGCGCCAGCCAGCATGCCTCAGCACAGAGCAAGAGCGCATGCTGCGCACCCTGGCGCAGCACCAGCTCGCCTCCAATCAGGCACTCTCACCACTGCACAGCCGCCCACGAGCGCCCGCAGCTGCACTGCTCAACGCTCAAGCTCAGGAGCCTCCCCTTGTTGTCGCAGCTTTGTGCAGTGCAGCGTGCGAGCAGCGCAGCGCCAGGCAGACCCGTGGCACGCCCGGGCGGCTGTGGGACGGAGGCCCGCCGAGCGAGTGCGAGCCGCATCGGCGGCCATGTCTCCCGCAGCCGTGAGCGAGCGGTGCAAAGAGGCAGCGTCGCGCATGCTTTTCCGTAACGGCCCCGGTCGAAGAATAAAAGAAACGCTTTTTGTGCATTTACTTCTGGGACCGGAGCGCCGCGACCTGCAACTAACAAAATTAATTTTATTTTCGGCTCGCTGTCTTTTCTCCGTCTGTCCTTGCTAATCTCTCTTCGATCCTCGCCTGACACAGGTACTTTCTTCACCTTGGTGACGAGATCGGATGAAAAGAATTTCACCAGTGAGGTTGATCGTATTTCCAACGCCGCAAATCTGAAAGATCGCTTGATGAGTCCGGACTGCAAATTCACGCACGCGCGGCGCCCCGCAAAATCGACCGCAAATTTCTTCCAATGCGCCCCCCCGCGCGCGTCTCGTATACCGGTGCCGGTGCCCGGGTCCACCCGGCCGCAGGGCAGAGCTCGCAGATATACACACACAGCGCGCAATGCGGCGCAGCTGCGCACTAATCCTCCGCGTGCAGGGCGTGGCCCCGCCCAGCCAGCAGGGACGACGCGGTGAGGAGCAGCAACTTCATCACGGTTCCGAAGCGCCCGTCCCGAAACGCGGTCATCTTGCTATTTTCGCCCGCGTCTCATCACAATAGCGCCCGGCGGCGGTCGGTCTTGTAGCTCGATCGGTCATACGAGCGTCATTTTGTACCCCCCCCCCCCCCCCCCCTCCTCATTCCATTCCTCCTGCCTCGCCACCCCGCCCTCCGACGCCCTCGGCCTGTCGCCATCTCCCTTCGCCCCCCGCCTCTCTCACCCCACCCCTCCCCCTCCCCCGCAGGTGCGACGGAGGCGTGGGTGCTCTCTGCCCGCCAGCTCGCCACGATGGCAGGCTCCTTCGCCGGCATCGGGCTCATGTGGCACCTCGACTTGCCGCTACGCCGCTCGCTCCCGTTCGGCGCCCTGCTCGCCGCCGCCGCCCAGCTCTCCCCGCTCCTCGTCCTCCTCGCCAGCGGGAGCGGGGTCGGCGGCGGGGAAGGCGGCGGCGGGGGCGGCTCCAGCCTCGACGGCAACGCTTCGGGCGTCGCGGTGCTTGCTCACTCACACCAAAGACACAGCCCCCGGCCCAGAGCATCGCGCGCTCGCGCCAGGCCGACCCCACCGCGCTCGTCGCAGCGCGCCCGTGAGCGGGTCCGCCGGCGCGTTCCGTAGGTCCTGCTGCTCGAGCCGCTGCTGTCGGCCGCGATGAGCGCGTGCGGCGTGGTGCCCGTCCTCGCCCTCGCCGCCGCCGCCGCCGCCAACGAGGGCGAGGCCACCGGTGGAGGCTCTGCTGTCGTGGACGCAACCATGACACGTCCAGGACGTGTCCGTAGGCGAGGGGGCCGCCTACGGGCTCGTCGGCGCGGCCGACGCGGCGGGTGCCCGAACCCGCCCCGAGCAACCGCCCGGAGTCACACATTTCCAATCACCCCTCCCCCCACCTTCGCCCCAGGTGCCCTCGCGGGCGGCTCGCTCTCGACGGTGGCCGTGGCGGCGCTCGGCATCGGCGGCCCGCCGCACGGCGGTTGGCGTAAGCTGCCGCTCTTCGCGGTGCTCTGCGCCGCCTCCAAGCTCGCCACGGTGCCGCTCGTACTGCTGCTGCTCCGGCTGAGGGAGTCGGTGGCGGACGGCGCGGCGGCCGAGGAGACGGGCGGGTGGAGGAGGAGAGGAGTGGAGGCGTGACACGCGGAAGGCGCGGGAAGGGGGACGGGGGAAGGTAGGCGGAGGCGGGAGAACGGGCGCGCAGTGCGTGCCGCAGTCCGCAGAGAGAGATTAGTGTTACGCTCGTACCGTTTTGTGGCGGCGGGCCGGACCCCGCCAGCCGCGCCCACGCTGCACGCTATGCAGACTCGAGAACTGCACACACACGCGCACACAAAACACCAACAAGAGTGCCATCACACACAATCCCCTGAAATCTGAATATTTAACGAAATAAAACGGAACTTGTCCTTCGACCTTCAGTTTTGCAGAGCGAAAAAACCCAACACATATAGGAACCAGGGCAAGGCCCCCATGGCCATGCCCCATCCATCACACCCGCGCTGCGCTTGCTCTTGTTGCACACGCGGCGACGAATGGATCGACCCCGGTCCCCGCCCGCGGGCAGCCTCTACACACCAGAGGTCAGTGAGAGCGGAGGTAACATCAACAGCAGCAGGGGCCCGAGCCTCCGAGGAGGCTGCCCACGCGCCACGGTGAAGCAAGCGCATCACGATTCGATGCAGTGGCAGTTCCGCATAATCAGGCGCTGTGTGTCCGGTACGATGTGGTGCTCAGGCAGCGACGAGAAGAGCAGGTTTCGGCCATCGTCGTGTTTCGGCCACACCGCCACACCGCAGCGCACGCCGTTGCCGTCCACACATTTGCCCTCGCCCTTGCAGTCATTGTCGCTCGAGCAGCACATGTTGGTCTTTCCCCAATCAGGGTGGTGGCTCCACCCCCCTGTGTTTGGGACGTTCGCTGGGCCTGGCCCGTAGCACTTGCCGAGCTTTTTTCCCGTGTGGTTGCCCTGCTCGTCCAATCCCCCGTAGGCGAGGAGGTTGTGGCCTTGCGCGGTGCCGGGGTTGGTCGTGTTTCCGTCGAACTTTTCGTAGTCTTTCGACCAATTCCCTTTCCAATCCTCGTAGTATTGCATGTCGAGCAACGTCATCATACCCTTGTCCTCTGCAGGGAAAGCAAACAGGGGTTGATCGTTACTCGGAGCAAGAGACGGGGGGCACTACGGGAGGGGAGCACCATGATCGAGAATGTGGCAATGCACGACTTGCCGGCTCCGAAAGTGATCGAGCTGCGTCCGCGGGGTGGCGGGAGAGGCGGTCAAAGGAGTAGCTAGGAGGGAGATTGCACAAGGCGGACGGGAACTTATTACGTTCGTGCGAACGCGGAAGGACGCGTTGAACTGGGCATATGCCTGCGGCGTGCAATTGTTGCCTCCGCAGCTGTCATCGGAAATGGGCGCGCACCACTTGGCGGGGATCTGGAGGACGTCCCCCCAATCGCCTTTCTGCGCAGGGGGGTTGGTTGGGGGGGGTCAAGTGATGCCGCTCACTGCTGCTGCTACTGCCGTTGATGCTGCTGCTACTACGTTGCGGTCCGAACCTTGAAGTAGTTCTCGAATGGGCGCTCCCCGGGTTTCGAGCGCTCAAACGCCTTGGGTCGACCCGCGTTAGTGTCCTGATTCCAATCGCGGTCCTCGGGTCTCGTCCCCTCAGGCCCCGCGGGGTAACCAAACTCGTCGTAGTCGACTTGCAGCTGGAACCTATTCGTGCGAGTGAGCCTTCTGCGATTGGCTCAACTACAGCAACCGCTGCCTCTAGCGTGTTCGTACGGATTGACGTGCCAGTGGAAGGCGTGGAAGTTCACCCCTTTGATCTCGAATTCCTGGAGGCTGCCAACCTATGCGCAGTAGGGACCTGCGGCTGAGATCGCTAGGCACCGACGGCAGTTTGCACAAGTAAAGCACCGGCATGCTGTAGGTGCGCTTGGGTTCCATCAGGTACTCGTTCGATCCGACGGCGTCCGGATTCGGCTCTGTGCACGTTAAGGCGAGGGTTTGGTGCGCGTCGCGGCCGTGCGTGCGGGTGACGTGCTACATGGAAGGAAAGGGAGCAGGTGCGACATGCTATGGTGCACACCATCGTGCATGTCAAATCCTTTACCGCCGTAAACGTGTCCATTGATGAAAGGAACCCCCCCCCCGGGGCCCCATCCTTCCGTGTGGCCGGAGGGGTAGGCCCCAAAGTGCAAGCGGCGTTGTCCCTCGGGCAAGTAGCCGGCCTGTTCGGTGAGCTGCTCGTCTGTCAGCTTGGTTAGGTCGGCCAGGTAGCACGGGTGGTTGACGCTGAGCTCCGGCAGCTCGCAGCGGGACACTCCTTCCTCTGCTATCGCCAGGATGGTTCCGAGAGGAACATAAACAATATCACGCTTCGAGTTTGCGCTGATCTCCGCGGCGTTGATCAACGTGTTGGTGATGTTCGCTGCGGTCTGTCCTGCTGTGAGATTAAGGACATTGTCGCACACATCGCTCGTTGAGTCTCCATGGAAGTCATAATACCAGGCCTTAATCTCGTATTCCCAGCAATCTTTGTACTCCGGGCCGCCGTCCACGGCGCACGTCTTCTTCGGAGGCGCATCTTCGAATTGGGGATTCTTCTCGCATCTCACCAGTATGTCGGCGCGATTGCCCGAGCCAAGGAAGGCGTCTGTCGGAAACGGGGAGCGGGGGATATGAGGGATATGGGGGAGGCGGGGCTAGACAGGGAATAGAGAGGGGTGACGGGTTGCGGCCAGTCACTCACAACTGGTGCGGCGGGGCGCGTCGCTGAGGTAGATGCCTGCGGGCGAGAAGGCAAGCGGGGTGAGTAAATGGCTCAAGTCGACGTGGCGTGAAGTTGAGTAGAGGTGCTCGTCACCGTCCTTGGCGATGAGCTCCATCTCGCAGCCTTCCGGCATCGAGAAGTACAGCTGGTTGTCGATGTTGGCGTAGACGATGCGGAAGCGCACCCACCCGTCAGCGGCGATCGAGATCTTCGGGGCCACCTCGCCGTTCACGAGAAAAAAGTTCTCTGGCTCGGAGGGGCTCTGCCACACCTTGGTGTCATCGCATGCTTGGTCCACATCGATGTGACCGTTGGCGAGGGCTAGCTTCAGGTTGTCGCGGTCTCTCTGCCAGATGCTTTCGATGATGCTGTTATGATTGTCTTCCGTCCGGCAAGCCATGGAGTTGTTCAATGTGGTATAGTCCATCAACACGTTGTTGTACGCCTTGCAGCACTTGACCATGTCATCCGCCCTTCCTTTGTTGGCATGCACCGTCAGTCCCAAGACAACCAATTCGACTTCTGGAACAGGGCCCTCACCGTCGTATTCGCCCCCCTCGAGGAACTTTGGTAGCGTGCCGGGCGGATCTCGCACGATGATCATCCCCACTCCACCTCCTCCAGCGTGGGCGGCAGTGGAGCCGTGCTTGTGTGGGTGGTACCAGTGGGTCCCTGGCATGTGGTCCTCCGGGATGCGGTAAACGTAATCGAAGTGCTCGCCGGGCTCGACAGAGATGAACACGCTGTCCGCGGGCATTTCGCCGCCAATGTGGAGACCGTGCGTGTGAACCTGGAGATTTGTGGACGGAGATTGGTTAGCACACATCACGGGCGGCCAGCAGCGGGCAAGGAGTGTGTACATTTGTGACTTGAAAGTCATGGAAGTAGTTGTGGACGCCGCTGGTGTTGACCTTGGGTCGCTGGAGCCCGTTCTTGAGGGTAATCTGCGCAAGCGTGGGAGCGGGCGACGGGTCCCTTCACCTCCACACACAAGGCGGCGCGAATGGGAGCGGGCGGTGGGCGGGCGTGCCTTGAGCGTATCGCCGGGCCAGATTTCAATCGTCGGGCCGATGGGCGTCGCTTCCATCTGGTGCGTATCGTTTCGCTGGTAGCCGCGGGTGCGCGCGCTAAAGCCAGACTTGGTAGTAAAGTTGACCTCCGTGAATACGAGGTGGCAGATCTTTACCGGGGGCTGCTCGGATGTGTCTCGGGGTAGGCAGTGCGATTGCTCGTTGCCTGCGGGGGTGGCGGCGGTGAGGGCAGCGGAGGTGAGGGCGGTGGAGGTGAGGGCGGCGGAGGTGAGGGCGGCGGAGGCGAGGGCGGCGGAGGTGAGGCGGTGGAGGTGAGGGTGGCGCGGTGAGGGCAGCGGAGGTGAGGGCAGTGGGAGGGAGGAGAGAGGCGGCAGGGAGAGTGGAGAGCGGTCGCAGGGAGGTGAGGGTGAGCCAGGAGGGCGTCAACAGTGGGTGTGAGGGTGGCGCAGGTCACCGAGCAGCTTCGAACGCGTCCCGAGCAGCAACGGCAGGACGAGGTGCAGAGCCATTGATGATCTGCGCCCGCCGCGCCGGTGCCCAGATTCGGTCGATCAAAATGCCCGTGTTCGACGTGTTGCACGATTCGTGTCGGGTTTGTCGGAGATTATCGGATTCTTCTTCTCTCTCTCCGTTTTCTTTCTTTCTTAGTGTGCCAGTCCGCGCCAGTCCGCGCCCTTGTCGTGCCAGTGTGCTGTGAGAGAGGCTTGTATTGTAAGAATTCTCTGTTCCATGAGTACCGAGACGTGCCCCCCCTTCACAAATCAAGACGTCTGCAAATGCTGAGTAGATGCTCGGCGCGTAGGAAACATGCAATTGAGATACAAAACCACTCGGGTGAGTCACTGAGAGTTCAGACACGCAGGCAGACACGCAGGGTTAATGCACGCGATAGATCTCTACAGGTGTGAGATAGCAGCCTTGCCGGCCGCGCCCAACTGCAAACTAAGTTCGGCGGGTTCGTTTCCGTTTAGCAAACGAGGCGGGCGTGTAGGCGGCACGAAACAGCTGCGCGCGTGCCCGCGGATAGCTGTTACTCAGCGCCGTGCCATCCCGGGGCGGAGCCTACCTACCTATTGCGGGCGCCAATCGCCAGGCTCCGTGCCCCACCTACCTACCTAACTTACCTATTCCCAGGCCGCGCAAGCGAAGCGGAAAAATACCCGTTAGCCCTCTGTGAATAGGCTCCCACCGCGGGCGCCGCCGCCGCTCCCGTCTCGGCTGGCGTCCCAGCCGCAGGCGACTCGTCTGGCATGGCCCGTTCGCGGCTACCCGGGTAGCCGTCTCCCGCGCAAGCGAAGCGGTTTTTTTACTTTCACCCCCCCACCCCCCCACACACCACCGCCACCTACCTATCTATTGCGGGGCCCTCTGGGTACCTACCTATTGCATAGGGTCTAACCGTGGAGAACAGACCCCCTATCTGGGTAGGAGCCGGAACCCTGCGGTACTGGGTCATCACTGGCTAGCTGTTCGGTTCCCGTTTGCGAGTATCGGGAATAATGGGGCAGCCTGCTCATGCTGGAGCGCACGCACTCGCGCAGTTTCGAAGATGTCTCGTCGTACAGTGAGAGCTCGGAAGCGAGCTTTGCACGGCGATCGAGGATGGCGCGGTTCACCCCCTTCACCTCTCCGTGTATGAGTTTACGAGGGTGAGAAGGAAGAGCGTTGCCTGGCAGTAGAAAAAAAATTGCTTTAGTAGAAAAACGGGCACGCATAATCTCCCCCCTCCATTCCTGTCTGTGCCCCCCCCCCCCCCCTCCCACACGCAGTGTGCCAAGCCCCCCATCGAAAGCAAGAAGAAGTATTTTTGAATCCGCATCTCGGCTGCGCAATTGGAGCACTTGGAGTGCAGTCATCAACCTCACATCCAGGGCCGGGGAGCTGAGGAGCGCACCCAGCGGGCCGGATGATCGGTATCGCTATCGGGTTACGGGCTAGAGAGCCCTAGCCCCGGGGGTGCGCGTTCGCAGGGAAAGGGCCGTAAAGTAAACACGGGTCTCCGAGGGTTGGACCCGCGTACCGGGTTTCCCCTTAACTGCAAGACGCCCCCTCTACTCGGAGCTAGTTAGTGGACATTACACTGTACACCACGCCCAAACACACAGACACTTGCTTAGTCCTCGGTCCCGGAGCTCCACCTTCCGTCCTATTCGTTCTCTTGCTCGCTTGCCGAGGGAGCGTCATATACGACGGCCGGTGTTGTAAATAAATAAATAAATACAACGGACATCCCAAGCTAGGGCTGGGTCGAGGACAGACACGTCCCCACCTTTGCAGGATTTTGCAAAAGCGAGGGGGGAGGGCGCATCGCCGCGCGGAGAGGGCTGGGCACAGGGCACAGGGGATCTCTCTCGCATAGGATATGCACTCGGCGGCACGAGGGCAAGGCTGGGCGTCCTATTTGTGCTCCCCCCCCGTTCCCTCGTTCTTGGAAGAGGCTTTCTGCGCTCGGCCTTTCGTCTTCGCCCGCTTCTCTCTCGATCTCTCAGCTCCACCGGTTCCGAGCCAAAGCGTGCATGCCAGCATGGACTCCGCCGCGCTGCGTACGATAACCCTCGACCACCGCCAGTACTTTGTCGCCGCGAGTGCCGTGCCCGGCGGCGGCGTCCAAGTCGCACTCACCGACGGCGCCGACTCCTGGAGTGGCACTCTCCCCGCGTCGGAACTGACACCACCAAACCGCATGGACGCTGCAGACTATGCGAGGCGTCTCCGTGACGGGCTGCTCGGCCGCGCATCGGCAGTGGGCGACCACCTCGAGCTCGAGTTGGTGCCGCCAAGCGAGCGCAAGCTGGTTTGGCGCGCCTCTGTGCAGCACACCGGCCCGCTGCCGCTGCGCTTCGCGCTTAGCCAGGCACGCACGGCCTCACTGCATGGCCGCGCCGCGGCGCCGCGCCGCGCCCACCTGAGCCGGCGTGGCGTGGCAGGCGATCCGGCTGCCTGCGGAAGGGTCACCCGGCGAGACAGCGCGGGCGATGGCGGCGCGTTTGGCCCGACACGTGAGCGAACTGCAGGCGGAAGTGGAGGACGGCGACGAGGCGGAGCGCCGGCTGGCGGACGAGGCGGGACAGGTCCACGCCCTGCGCGCCGGCGTCTTGTGCGCCCAAGCCGAGGCGGTTCCCGAGGCACGCCGGCGCCGACACACGGGCCTGTTGCCTCGGCCCCCTCGCAGCCGAGTCCCTCGACGCTCGCGCAGGCGCGAAAAGCCATGATGGAAGCACTCAACCGCATTAAGTTGCGCTGCTCGCGGCTCGATGCCGCGCTCGAGCGATACGAGCGCGGCGGCGACTCATTTGGAGCGCTCTCCGAGGCCGAGGGGAGTCCCTCCGAGAGTGACCACGAGTCGGGAGGCGGCGCCGCGAGAAGGGAGGGGGTGCGGGGCGGCGGCGCGGGCAGCCTCAAGCGCCCCGCCTGCACCGGCCAGACCAGCAATAAGCGGCCCGCTACACTTGCAAACGAGACGGCCGCGGCAGCAGCACGACCAGCAGACCTTGCCATGAGCGAGTCTCTCGCAGACATGCTATGAGACATCGCTCTGAAATCGCGTTCGCGAGTAGGTGTAGACTAGATGTGCGTTTCAAAGAGGCTTTCAAGCAGGCGATCGTCGGTGTGAGGTGTGTGTGGACGACACACACGGTCTAGCCGAGCAGGGTAGCACACGGTGGCTCTCCCCTCTCCGGCTCCCAGGGGGCCCGGGGGGCTGGTGAGTGTGGCGCTCCCCGGCATGAACGACACAAATCGGCACCGGATTCACGCGCTCTCAAGCAGCCCCCGCCTCTCTACTGCTTGGGCGGCTCGGCGATCCCCAGCTCCTTGTAGAGCTCGGCCATGCGCTGTTGCATGTAGGCGCCCGACTTTGCGTGCGCCTGTGGGGACAAAAGTCCAAACCGGGCGTCTCAGATTCGAGTGGGGCCAGGCCGGGCACAGCCAAGTCTCACGCCTGCTTCATCGCGGCCGCCACCTCCGCCGAAACCGCCTCGGCGCCCTTGGCCACCATTTCATCGCTCACCTTGACGTCCAGGGGCACCTGATATTCAAGCCCAATGGTGGCGTCTAAGCGGTGCTGCCTCGCAACCTCGCCCCCCATCCCTCCCTGGCTTCCTGCATCGCCGTGATTTTGACGAGGATCGCACCCTCGTTCGTGGCAACCTCCACCTCGGTCTGACCCAGCTCCTCCTGAAGCGCTTGGATCTTTTGGCCAAGCGCCGCGTACTTCTTCATGTTTTCAGGGTTGAACATGTCCTTGGCGGCCTTCATCTGCGAGCCGGTGAGTGATTGGTCGCTGGACTATCCTCAGGGCTTGCCGGCGAGCGGATCCACACGGCGGCGCACACCTGCTCCATGAAACCTCCCATCCCGCCCTCGCCGTCCGGCTTGCCCCCTGCGCCCCCAAACATCATGCGGCAGCAGCTGCTGGACGACGCGCTGCTCGCAGCGGCGCCAGCTGGCAGCCGCAGACCCGCGGCGGGCAGGCGGAACGCGTCGCACGACAGGCAGAAGGAGGCGAGCAGCACGACGAGATCGCGGGGCGTCATCGTGTGCGGCAGTATTGGAGAAAACGGTGCGCGACCCAGCGACGCGTGCCGGCGAGGCCGATTTTCTTAAACGGTCTTATAAGAAGCGGCCCCCGGGAGCGTGGAATAGGACCGCCGCAAGCGGCGTGGCGTGGAGCGGTTGAGCGTCCCTCCGGGGGCCCCTCTGCGCCGGGGAGGCGTTGTTGGCGGCT